TTCAGGATCGCAAGTCGACTTATATGAATGTATAGGTAGTGGTAGTGGTACGACCCCCACTTATTACTTGATTCGTTTTGAGTGGGAGAGAAGGATATAGTATCTCAAAAGATAAGTTGGTATGATGAAGTCATGTTTGTGAGAAAGAGAAGTTCTCCCACTATACTTTCACAATTTGTATAAATAGAGAATGTCAGTATAGGAGAGAGAGCAGTCAGAGTTTCTATAAGTCATCTCTTAATATTTCTAATCGAATTAGTAAAATGCCATTTCCAAAAGAGTGGAATGAAAAACCAAAAGTGTGCGTCTACCCAATGATGATTACGGGGGCTATTGTGTGCTACTTTTGCCAAATAGGTAGACCTAAGGAAACAATTAATCCATGCACTGGTATGTGCAATGATTGTGTGTCGCGGATTCAGCTATCGCCTCCATCTCATCCGCCGAAGCGAACAAAATCAGAATATCGTCAGCAACAGTCACAGTGCCTGAAGTGTTCCGAACCTATAATATTCAATAATATGGGTATATGCAGAAATATTTGTAGTACATGTGCTGCTGTTCCAGCTCCGCTGCAACGTTGTTTGCGTTGTGATACATACTCAATAAATTGTTGGAATCATGTATGCACTACATGTAGAAGTACTCGGGATCTATGTGAGATGGTTGGTCAATTCTACCCCCATTTGTACAGAATAAACACACGTATGCATACCACGAAGATCCACCGACTGATGAGCAGTCCTTCTTCACCAGTTTGGACGGTACCCATCGTGACAGAGAGTGTACACGTCTGCACTCCGTGAAGTTCCAACGACCACTGCTTGCTCGTATCGCCTTCAGTCAGCGCATCGAGTTGGAATTGGTGGTGGGGATCATCTGTGGTCGACTCATCCAGTTGACTTCGACCTTGAACGACCTTGATCTACCTCACACCCTTGACGTACGTTACATGGCGGCGACTAAGTCAAGATGAATTTGAGGCAGTGTTTTGGATTTAAACTTGAATGACCTTCATTCACACTCTTTATTTTCACCACCTTCATTGATTCGCGCGGCTATTTCGAAGACATTTTTTACCTTTGAAATGACTTCTATATACGTCACACGATGTCGACAAGGTGACTTTGAAGAAGTGTTTTGAGTTCGACCTTTAACGATCTTCATCTACGTCATACCCTTGAACTACGTCACAAGGAAACGTGGACAAGGCGACTACTTTGAGGTAGTGGTTTTGCTTTAACCTTGAATGACCTTCATTCACTCTCTATATTTTCACGAAATTCATTGATACACATGACTATTTCGAAGACACTTTCAATTTTGAAATGACATCTATATACGTCACACGATGTCGACAAGGTGACTTTTAGAAGTGTTTTGAGTTCAACCTTGAACGACCTTCACCTACGTCACACCCTTGTCGCGGACAAAGCGACTTTGAGGTAGTGTTTTGGGTTTGAATAGTAGCAGATTACAGCCGTTTCTGGGCCTACCCCCACCACTATGGCGTATTAATTGCTTTTTTTGTTGTTGTTTAGTAACATCAAGGCGATGTGACTTTGAAGTGTCTGGAGCATTGATCACTCAGGATTTTTTTCATATGAGATTTTGTGTGTGTGTGTGTGTGACATAATGACGTAATTACATTTGATTGGTATGTGTGTGTGTGAGAGAATGCACGGTACAGGGTTTATCATGTGCGTGTCTGTGTACAAACATACGTCTGCATACTTCGAAGATCCTTCAAGTAATGAATGTTCCATCGGTGTGAGCCCACCAAGTTAGTAGTGGTGTGACGTCACAGCAGCAACCGTTCAACGTTAGGAGAGCGAGATGTTCACTCCACGACGTGTGGCTGAGTAATGCGTATTCATCAAACAACTTCATACAAACAATAGTCGAATCTCTATAAGCTATTTCATTTGATGATATGCTAGGGAACTTTTTTTGAAATATGATGTAAAAAAATACATAATAAATTATAATGTTTTTCGAATGAAAGGGAATGATCAAGTCTTGTACCATTTTATTCATATTGCGGGAGTTAAAAAAATGAAATGAAGAGTTTTATCAAATTTCGAAGCTGTTTATTGTATAATAATGTCTGTCTAAACAACTGAAAAGGCCATTTTCCCATAAAATATCCAGCAAAATCCTGGAAAGGTTTCAAATTCCATTTTTCGAAAAATTTTTCTTCGGTTTCTAGCTCAAAAATGAGTTTGAAAGTGTGATCTTTTAGGTATATTTTCAGCCATAAAATCCGAATAAAACATGAATGAAATCTGAACGATGTACGCAAGAATCGCGATTGCAATCTTGAACGGAAGCTGCTGATGAACTCAATGGATGCTTCTTTGAGAAAAGCCCGATTTTCCTGTCTAAACAACTGAAAAGGCCATTTTTCCATAAAATATCCAGCAAAATCCTGGAAAATTTTCAAATTCCATTTTCCAAAAATTTTTTCTTTGGTTTCATATAAAAGACGACGTCCTTAGAAAAAAAGTCTCATGCCATGAGACGATATTCCCAGGCGTTCTAGCTGAAAAATTAATTTGACAGTGTGATCTTTTATGAATATTTTCAGCCGTTAAATCCGAATAAAACATGAATAAAATCTGAACGACGTACGTTAGAATTGCACACACACACACACCACGTGACGTCACACTGGTGGGGGGAGGCTTGGAACCGGCTCAAATCTCAAGGTCGCATGAGTCGGTCTAGGTCATTCACCCCACGTGACGTCATAGTGGTGGGGGAAGGTATGAGTCAGTAATTAGGTCACCCTAATTACACCATTTCGTCGTTAATGACGTCATAGTGGTGGGGGGAGGTTTAGAACCGCCTCAAATCTTCTACTTCCAATCTTTGCTTTGAGTGCAAATGGGAAAAAATGAAATGTTACTTCATTGAATAATGAGGCAAGAGTGATTTTTATTTGTGAATGTTTCAATATATTATCCCTTCTTCACGCAATTCTTCAATTTTTGAAATTATTTCATTGTTGTGTCCAGTAAGGCCAGCTGCCTTTGAAGACACGCATAGTTGTAAATGAGCAACTAACTCTTTCGATAAGTTCCAGTAGACACAATGCACTGGTTTGGAATCATATATTATCTGCATTCCGTTTCGATTGACTGTGCCACCAATTTCAGTTCTATCTCTTATTGAATATTGACGAGTCTAGTATAAGTTTGATAACTTCACGAAATTTTTTGAAATTTATGTTTTTGGAACCATTCTTCAATTGGTGTTGTTTGTATGGAGAATTCGTTACTTTCAATATCTTTGAATGTGTTTGACGAATTTGTTCATCGTTAATATTTTGCAGATTCTTCAAGAATATTATATCGTATAATTGTGGACTACCCGGAAACTCATATTTTTCGACTACTACCAAATCCAAACAAGTACCTACTTACTTGCTAGAAACCAGCTGAGTTGTAGTTGCATTGTGATATCAGTAAAATTCAGAGCTGTTAATTAGCAGTGATCACATATCATGAATCAGTTTACTGACGGTGAAATGGCTGGAATGAACTTCATTTATAAATTAGCAAATGGAAATGCGGATTTATCGAGACAGATATCCTAACAGAGTAATTCCATGTGCTAGAACATTTAAAACGCTACATGTTTTAACATTCAAAACGCTACATACTAGAATATGTTAAACTAGAAGTTTTAATAAAAATGTAGTTGGAAGACCAGAAACTGTAACTTGATGTGATTGTACAAGATATTTTCAATAGTATCAGGAAGATTGTACAGCGGTTTAAAGTCAGTCCAAAAACCATTTTGAAAGTTCTAAAAAGGAACTTTCACTACCCATATCACATATAGCAGTTCCAAGCTCTACTACCTTGAAAGTTTCAAATGAAATTAATGTATTAAGTGGTTGATTCACAAATATTTTATCTAGATTTCTATTTTTATGGTCATTCTAGGTTCTCGCTTATAAAACTTCTATATTAGATGTGAATGACTTGAGGAATATAATAATTGACAATTGTAATAAGGAATGCCCCAGATATTTGTGTATGTCTGTCAATTATGAATCGATTGCAGGTGGACATTTTGTTAATTCACTTCAAAGTTGAAATAGTTTATTTTTCATTTTATTCCATGTGGGTAGTTTTTAGAACGAGTTAAAGTGAATGTTTTCTCGAAAATCTAGTTCTTAAGAAAATACAGGAAACCAGAAAGTTGTAGTTTTGGTTGCTTATCAATCGGCCGATGTGTGAGTCGATAATTCAAGCCGCAGGCTGTGCGCTTGATTTTCACTTGCTATCCTCCAATCCACGTTAGGAATCACACGTTAAAAGGTAAGACCTCATTAGTCCTCACCTTGCACAAGTTTCGACTTCTGAGGGTTTTCGTTCGTAGGGGTGCGATACCTGGTTAACGGAAAAAACATATTCTAAACATATTTTAAACATATTCCAGGCGGAGACGAAACGAAAATCTTTAAAAACGGTCCAGCCGAGTTGATAGGTGTAACTAACAGGATTTGGCGACTTTGTTCCATTCTTGTACGATTGGCTTCTTCATAAGGAAACAATCCTGTGCCGTTACTTAATTACCTAATGTGCCTAGAGCTGCGACAGTTTTTTATAAAACCCATTGCTGTCTGAAAATATGATCAAATAGTCTTTCTGATGTTTTTCTATGATAAGAATGCTATCTAGTAACTTTTATTTTGAAAATATGAACTTGATATTACCGAAAAATCTTGTTTTTGTTTGAGGGTCGTTATTTTATTAAATGAATCAGTAAGTAAATCGTTAAAGACTGCGTGACCTCGGGATCTTTGGTATGGGTCATTCGATTTTGACTTCGCCAATACCAAAATATTTGGTTGAACATTTACAGAAATAATCGAGGGCTCAGTGATGTTCCAGGCGACTCATATTGGGCGAACCTATTGTTCGATAGATTCCTTTAAATAACAACGCAAAAAACAAACGCAATAGTGATTATGAGAGTTTTTTGCTAACCTGAAAGAGCTGGGTGGCCTATTCGATTTTGTTTTGTTCCCAAATAATAACCTTTCCTTGTCCCTCGGTGTATAAGGCCTCTGTGTTTGAAGTGGTTTGATGGATGGTGGTGCAAAGTTATTGTCGGCCATTTGGGATTCTGGAACAATAGATAAGTAAAATGCCATTATCTTGCTAAATGATAATTGATGGAACTGAGGAACTACTTGTCATTTCAAGCATCAATCTAATAAAAAGTGCTTTTAGAAACATTTCATGTTTTTCTGAAAATTGATTTTTTACAAGTAAAAGTTGATTTGAAGTACCGGTAGGCGATCTTGATTTAATTGAATCTACCCTGGATTGACTAAGAGTAATACTCCGAAACTGATCTGTAGATGATCACTGAATTAATTTCACTGAGCCCGTGTCATTGAAAAAACCAGAAGAATCTGCAAAAAATTTGCATGTCCATTACCAAGGAAGCAGTTGTTTTCCTGCAGCCATTTGCCAGATTCTTCGGTAAGATTTGATGTCTTCAAAACCATAAAAATGTTTGACGTTATCTTGTATAATATAAACGATTCAAAACCAAACAAAAGCACTAGAACTGTCTTCTCGAGGAGTGTTTCACCAACCAAGTTGGCATCTTCAGGAACTGATTTAATCAGTTTTAAGGGTGAAAAAACTGGTAGATCCAAATCATTCTTGAACACTAAAAATTTATAACTTTTGAATTGGTTCGATTTGAATTGGTTTGGTTGTATTTAATCAAACATTCGTGAAAATTGCATGAGTTCCAAAGCTATGATGAGATTTTTTGAATTTTTTGGATCAATAATTTCGATTCAGAAGTATTAGTTTCTCTAGGCAAACACAGATAGGAGATGTTGATAAAACAGATAAGATATTCGCCTTATTTATCATATGAATTATTGAAGAAGTACATCTGCTGTAGTTGAAATTGTGAATTACAATTACTAAAGACATAATATATATTGGGTTTAGTAAACCCAAAATATATCTTCGAGTCTCCAGGGTGTCCGTGTAGGTATCCCACACAGCACTAGATATTCATGGAATATTCCCTGTATATCATAAAACGAACGTATATATTCCAAATATTCATAGAATATTCTTGGAATATATACATGCCTTTAGAATATTCATAGAATATGCTTGAATGAATATGGCAGGATTATTCCCGAAAGAATGTGCATAGAATGTCTATAAATGGATTATTCTCCCTTGAATATTCTAAGAATATTGTCGATCGAATATACCATATGGTATATTCTTAGAATATATCCCCACGGTATATTTTGGAATATTCTATACAANTGTGTGAATCTTGTATCAAAATGCAATATATACATGCCTAATAGCGGTTACTCGTCACATTCTTGGAATATTCCAAATATTCCTAGAATATTCATAAAATATATTTAAAGAATATTCTATGGTGTTTCTCTATTGTATATTCCTACAATAAACTAAGAATATCCTGAATATTTTATGAATATTCCTCGGGTTCTATTCCTGGAATATTCTTAATAGAATATACCTTAGATATTCTAAGAATATTATAAGATATTCCAAGAATATTCCCAAGGAATATTCTTAGAATATATCAAAGGTTCGCCAGGAGCACTTCCAGGGAATATTCTCCAGAAGATATATATATATCCATGGCATATTCATAGCATAATACAATATCCTTAAATGTATATTCATAAAATATACCTGGAATATCTATTGCTATGTGGGATTTGATTTAGAATATAATCTGGTAGATTTCAATACCATTCACTTTTGTTGCTTAGATGAGTATGAAATGAAACCCTCGACAAGTTCATACATTATTACGAAAAATTGAGCCATATTTTTCCAAAGTTGCAACACAGTAAATTACTCAGTTTCATAATATCACATCTGTTATCATTATACAGAAATTACGCAAAATCATAAGTGTATTCAGTGTCAGAACTTAAAAAAAAAATAGTAGGCTATATAGTTGCTGTGCAAGTCACATAAAATTGATTCATTGAATGAAGTTGCACACTGTTTTTATGATTGATACTATTTGAAAAAGTATAATGCAGCAAGATTTCACAGGTGGAATAATGAAACATTCTTTTTCAAAAATAGTTTTATTAAAATGTGAAGTTACTATAGTTCTTTCGAAACTACATGTAAGAAAATAAATCTTCGTAGAATGTTTTTATACTTATGTATCATTCTATTACCATCTGCTTACCTCTTATAGCTAATCTAGCTTCATTTATAATTTCCGCGCTGGTTTTTCTTTGGGGTGGCTCGTAGAAAGGCAGAGACACCTTGCTGATTCCTAGGGATTTCATTTTATCGCCGTCACTTCGTACTTCCATGTCTTAGACTTTCACATTTTACTGGAAGGTGAAATTTTCCAATCTGGAAAAGTAAACACGACACTATTCGTCGATACCCTCGCGATTTGAGTTCTTATTCTGATGTCGATTCAAATGAAATATTCTACGAATTTGCTTACCAATTACGTGTTTCATCGCAAGAAAACAAGCCTCTACTGAGAATAATAAAACTATTGATTATTACAGTAGAAAGGTTCAGAGCGGCATGCAAAGAAAAATCGATATTTGAAGTGGAAAAACTATTTTATGTCAGGTGGTCTGATCTAAACTAAAGTCATTGACATCATCGAATATTGGTATGAGTATTTGTCACATTCTGACATACTTAGGGTGATTGAGTATTTATACGCTCGCTGGTTTACTGACTCGTTCACATAATATGACTTCATGAGTGCAGACAAATTCACTAATTCTAAATCAACTCAATATATTTGTGAATAATATGAACAAGATATCAAGTTAATATATATTTTAGGTAGTAGGTTAATTATTTCCATGTTGACCGACTTTATATGTGGTTTTTAATTAATGGCTAAGGTAGGTCAGGGAAAGTATTATTAGTCAAGTTTTGCTTTATTTTTATCCATGTTATAGCCAATATGATTTGTTCCTTTTTTTACGCATCAGCGAGGCTAATAAGGCTATCTTTTACTGAATAACTAGTAATAGTAGTACGGATGGTGCACGTAATCTGACTACCAAGATATCTCAGGTAGAAAAGGGAAAATGAGTTTCAATAAAACTTGGGGGTAAATCTGGCAGCTTAGAATATTTCAAAATTGACCTGCTTCTAAAAATTCGCTGACTTACAACAATTATAACCTTGTACATATCCGATTTATAGTCGTGGTGATTATTAAAGAAGATCATTATTATGGAGGCACCTTTTAGGCGAAGTAGTCGATGCTAAAACCAAAACCTACTTATTTGAAAATTTTACATTTTTTAGGAAGGGGTTGACAAGTGAAGAAACTTCCAGGAGATATACAAAGACCAAGAAATGTATTACAAATACATATGACATGAAAAACATAGTAAGCGATCTCAAAGATACTCATAAGCATAAAGCAAAAATTAAACCATCATGTCATTTCATCAGTTCTATGCAAGTGAAAATCCGTATAGAGTATTTGTGAAAACTTTTTGAAAACAACTGGAAAAAAGCTTTTTCGCTTTCTACTTCTCCATCTTCATACAAAAAAATGTGAAAAACTTCCGAAGGAAGGAAGAAAGCAATCAGGTTCAAAACAAACTCTTTACTACTGATTCAAGGTTCTACTAAGGGTGACAATAAGTCAGTGTTAGTCCAAAGACGCAGCGTTAGAGAAGCGAAGTGAACTAGTGGAATAATTGTTAAAGTTGAGCAAAGTATTATTGAAGTATAAATAGTAGTTGTTTGAGTCCTATTTTTAGGTTTGCTGAATCACGTCATTAATTTATAAGTTTGGAAGAACCCTGATACATAACAGTGATGAAAGAAAGCGACGGTAGAAAAAGCAAGTGGAACTGAGAAAAGAAAATCGAAACAAATTCAGTGTGTAAAGTGAATAAACAGCAAATAATTGGGAAGTGATGGCGACGAAGGCAAATATCATCGAGGTTCTCAAATCAATTAGCTGAAAGCGAGGCGAGTTACAGAACAACAAGATATAATATAAAAGAAGTAGAAAAACAAGAACGATGTAAAAAAGGATGAAATGTCTTTCGCAACAATAAACACAGAGAAGGCGTGATCTAGAAGAACAAGAGAAACGTTTAGTTTGCCAACTGAATAAAATCAGCCTGTTGGGATTGGTTAAATCAATATTTTTCAGGGTCCATCCATGACTCGCACACAGTGTACAAAGTCATTAATATATTCCTGTCCAAAAGTATCTTTAATTTTTCACGGCATTTCCGGAAAAGTCTCGATTTTATTCTATATTTTTCAATACCCAAGTTTTGACGTAGTTCGGGATCTTACGATGAAAGCTGTAATGAGATTTCTCTAGAATTTGAGTCTGCTTAGAAATAATTTTGTTGGAATGAAATCGCAAGTAGGTTAGTGTCTCCTAAAAATGAAAGCAGGAGAACAAACTCAAAAGAACCATCTATGAACTAAGGATATCACTTGAGAAAAGAAAAATTCCAGAAAAAGGCGTTATTATAACCGTATAATTCTGGAGTCTGCAAATGGACTGCTGCAAATTTTTTGTCTCAAACCATAAGAAAAAATAGTAATTAAATGCAGAGAAACAGTGGGATGCTGAGAATAAAGCATACAGTCCGTCGGCAAGTAAGAACTATTGAGCACCGAGAAAAGATGAAAACAAACCAGAAGAAAAATAATTATGGAGCTGGTTGAAGGTGGCAGAAGAGTGGAGTTCGGTCTGGTTGGTAGGAACTCTCCAAGGATAGGACAGTTGTGAAAATTTCCTGAGTTCAATGCTTTTTTCCGTGTTTTCAAACAGACGTGTTAAATTATTTCTGAAAACTTTATACTGTTGGATTTTTGATGGAGACTTCAAATAGCTTATTTTTTGTATTAATTGACTTTACTGAACCATTCGTTATTCAAGGTGTCATTTTAGTATCTTTTCTCCGTTTTTTTATAGTCGTGCAGGTGTTGATATTATTCTAAAGAATATCAACGAATATTATGTACTTGTGATGCAATGTTTGGAACCTTTGGTGTAGTAATGGATATTACTGGAGTTTTACCCCAACACCAAACCGTTATTTTATAATAACGTTTAATCTTTCTCTTGAAGATGATCACTTGGTGGTCGAAACACGTGTCGAGGTGTTGAAATAACGGTTTGCTGTTGGGATAAAACTCCAGTAATATTCATCAACGAATATATTCATTGCAATATTAAGATCTGTTGCAGTGTACATTGAAGAGTTTTGTATACAGTCCTTCGGTTGAATATTAGATTTATTGGAAGTATTGAGGATAATTTGGAGTGCAATCGTGAAATAATCAGTGATGTCAGTATGACTACAAGAGGTAAGATATTATTTATTTCATTCGGTGGTGCTTTTAAATAAATAAATGTGGTCTATACAAGACACCCAGTTGTGCTGAATTCTTGTTGGACAATTTATCATTGAAATAAAACCGAATTTATTCATAGTATTACTATACTATTAGTGTTTTCACTATTATCTAGTAGGTCAATATTCAGATCGCCGACCAATATGTGGTAGTGATCATTATTGGAAATATTTATCTCAAAATCATTTTGAAGCTCCATGAATATTACTGGAGTTTAATCCCAACATCAAACCGTTATTTTTAACACTTCAACCCGTGTTTCAATCAGCAAGTGATCATTTTCAAGAGGAAGATTGAACTGAAGCTCCATATTGAAGGTTTTGATTTTCCTTTATTTTCAGTATTTTAATATTAATATAAGTTACAAAAAGGATTTGAAGCTTTATAACTCCTATTTAATTATATGCGATCGCTTTCGACAGCTGGTCGAATAGAATCTTTAATATACACTAGAACATCTTTAATATACACTAGAACACCATCATTTTGAATAAAATTACCGTCATTGTAGGAGAGTTTATATCCAGTGATATTGTAAATACGGTGATCTGGGATTTTCTAAATTTCTGTGAGTTTGATAGAATCAACGTTAGAATCTAAACTATTCAAAAAAATGTTTCAATGAATCCATGTTTTTTTAGTCCTGTGAATATAAGTTTGAAATTAGTGTTTTGTTTATTGATTTCTAAGATTTCATGACATTCTGCGAGATGATAATATGTTTGTACTGCTTGTATTTCGAAATCACGAATATATCGGACCATTTAATGATTTATTCAAATGAGCACAAACGTATTTTTAAATAAAATTATGAACTGGGTACTGTGATCTCTAAAAAAAATATAGCAAATGGTACATTCAGTCTATGGGTTGAATAAAATACCTTGTTACTATTTTTTCATCAGTGTCGTAGTTATTTCTAGGGTAGCAATTTTTTTAGGGGTTGGTACCTGATATAGAAAGGAAATCTGCAGCTGCCAATTTTTCTCGTTTCTACTTTGGGATTGTGGTCTTCAGTTGTTTGGCTGTGAAAAGGGGGTTTCTTGCTTGTTCTACAGGATGGGCAAATATTCGTATTCTATTTGGATCTCCTTCTGTGGCAGGGTTGGGGGTTCGCTTGACGATTTTTGAGGGGTGATTGGCGAAGACGGTATTTTGTCTCGTTTTCTGAAACGATCAATATCTCTTGCTCTTTTACACTTTAAGTTTGTTTCCTTTTATATTTTATATAAAGGTTTTTTTCAATGTCCTAGCTTCTCTGAGTTCATTTACCAGAATTCTTCAATCTTTCAATTCATTTTGTGTTAAATCTTCATATCAATTATGATTTTAGTTCATTTCAGTTCTGATGGGTTTTTAAAAATCTCCTGTCGTTTGATTTTTGAAAGAAACGAAATTAGTATGAGCCTGTTGAGTTCAATCTTCTTACCCAATATTAATAAATTATTGATTTCTGTTTTCTCCAATTGAGTATCGAGTTTTGTTGCTGCCAATGTGGAAAAAGTTCTCAAAAGTGTTTCTTGACTCGTTTTCTTGTTCTTCTAATCCATACAAAACTAAGTTGTTTTGTTTCAATTGTTTTTCAATTTTTGCTAATTGGTTTTTCAGATTTATATTTTCGTTTTCAAGTTGTTTCACTCTATTTTTGATTAATTCAATTTCTTTCTGAATACCAGATAATAACTTCTTGGTAATTCCTTCTAATGTTTCAATTCTCTTGCATAGGTTTTCGTTCACATTTTTTGCATCGCATAACAATTGAAGATATTGCTAAAATATATCATTTGTTATACCTAAAATGACACCCAGTATATTTTTCAATGTTTGAAATAGTTTCGCTTTCGCGATATGATCTGAAAGGTTATTTGTCATATAACTTTGCGAGCTAACGATTAACGGGGTCTCACTTTCTACGAGTATTGTTGAAAGGTGAGCAGTGAAAATCCCAATTCCTACAGGTGAACTCGAATTAACCTTCACATAGCGGTTGATTGAATGAGAAGAACAAACCACTTTAAACAAATAGAAAAGGTAATATTTTACATAGGCACAATGAAAATTACGATTCAATTCTAACTCAGTTGAGTAATAAACATAAAATAAAATTAAATAACGTAAATGGAATATACCAGTCTAATGGGCGGGCGAGAAATAATTAGGCTGCAGAGAGGTTCATAACTCAAAATTGATCAAAAGGTTCGAAAGCATTTTAAGAAAAGGGAATTTGGTGTTGAAAAAGA